CAGTCGTTAAGCGTCTGCCTTCGCCTCAGGTCATGATCCCAGGGTCCTGGGATCAAGTCCCACATCGGTCTCCTTGCTCAGTGAGGAGCCTGCTTCTCCCTCTCCCTCTGCTGTTCCCCCTGCTTGTGGTCTCTCTCTCTCTCTCTCTCTGACAAATAAATAAATAAAAATATTAAATAAAAAAACAATACAAAGACAATGATGATATTATGAAGTACATTCTAGGGTTTGGTGCCCTATTTTCTCTTGTATTACTTTACTACTTTAAAGCAGGCAAATTCCAAAACCCTATAAAATTAATATTTTCAGTCAGAGAAACATTAATCTTGGGAAAATGAGCAAGAAAACAGCTTTTAAAGGTTAGGAATGGGAATCACTGGGAATAATGGGACACATTCTCAGCTGATTTTAGAAAAGCCAATAAACATTTATTTAATGACATAAAAAGATTGCTCTATAACCACCCATTTCAGCTTTTTTTTCTCTTCAATGGAAAGAAAATAACTAAAAAATAAAATGAATAATAATGAGGGTTTAAAAAATATGTTTTTTAACTAGTTCCTCCACTTTTTCTTCAGAGGAAAAACACTAGCATGTAGAAGCCGTTTTATTTTATTTTTAAAAAGATTTATTTATTTATTTTATGGGGGGAGCGGGAAAGAGAGTTTTTTTTTAAGATTTTATTTATGTGAGAGAAAGAGAGCAGAGAGTGAGTGAGATGAGGGGCGGGGCAGAGGGAGAGGGAGAAGCAGGTTCCCCACTGAGCCTGGAGCCTGACACGGGTCTCCATTCCAGGACCCCGGGATCATGACCTAAGCCCAATGCAGACACTTAACTGACTGAGCCATCCTGGCACCTGGGAGAGAGAGTCTTAACCAGACTCCTCATGGAGCCCCATGCAGGGCTTGATCTCACAACCCTGAGATTATGATCTGAGCCAAAACCAAGAGTCTGATGCTTAATTGACCATGCCACCCAGGCACCCCATAAGAGCCTTTTCAAAAGAGTAAATGAAAATGATTATTTTCCCAAAACTGGTGGACTGAAATTCTTTTGTATTGAAAGCACAGAAAAATGTAAGACCCAACATTTGAATCAAATATTAAACTACCTAGAGCAAGCTCACTGCCTTATGACTCAAAAGTAAAAACGAAGGGCACCAATGGTTAAGCTTCCAACTCTTGGTTTCAGCTCAGGTCATCATCTCAGGGTCATGAGATCCAGCTCAAGTTGGGTTCCCCACTCAGTGCACAGCCTGCCTGAGATTCTCCCTCTCCCTGACCCTCCCAATTGTGCTCTCTCTCTCTCTCTCTCAAATAAATAAATAAATAAATCTTTAAAAAAAAAAAAGGTAAAAAGGAGATGCACAGAGGACATACAAAAATATGCAAATAACTATTCTAAAATAAAATGCATTTTCTCCATCAGAAAAACATATCACACACAACTCACTAACAAAGTACAATTCAAAGCCACATATGAAACTATGAATAAAAATGCAAACTATGTACTGCCTTCAACGAAATAGTATGGAATATTTCCTACTGACTACTTTTTAAAAGTTGGTAGTTATAGCATGAATGGAAAACATGTGAAACTGCAAACTGAAATTTTTAAAGGAAACTAAAAGACATGTAACAAACACCTGAAAAATTGAATATTTAAAACATGGAGAGGGGCGCCTGGGTGGCTCAGTCGTTAAGCGTCTGCCTTTGGCTCAGGTCATGATCCCAGGGTCCTGGGATTGAGCCCCGCACTGGGCTCCTGCTCAGCAGAAAGCCTGCTTCTCCCTCTCCCACTCCCCCTGCTTGTATTCCCTCTCTGGCTGTGTCTCTCTGTCAAATAAATAAGTAAAATCTTAAAAAACAAAACAAAACATGGAGAGCCCCTGTCCTACATAATTTTGTTCTCAATTTTAATCATTTAAAACAATTTATTGATAGAGGGACAAACATAGAGAAAACTTTGAATAGTAAGTATATGAGAATGTAAAAAATTCAACTCAAAAAACAATAAGCAATATATGTTACGTTCAATAATGACAATCAATAATGACAGCATTAAAAAGTGAAATGTTCTCTCAATAAATAACTTTACCATAAAACAGTAGTTCCCACTGATTAGGCAATATTCTGAAAGATAAACATAATACTAATTCAAAATAGGCTACATCTAAATCTGTTAATTTACAAAAAGAAACTTCCTAGAAATGTCTGCAAAGCAAATTCACTTTGCTCTTAGTTGTTAACATTTTTAAAACAAATGTGCTTAAAAATTTTGCACAAGTACCATTTTTCTTTACGTTTCTCAATTTGCCTATATAAATCCATCTTAACTGTACTTTTCAGCTTTGAAAAAATAACATGTAGCAATGTTCCTAAGAGTAACACAGACATGTTTGAAAATGTCCTATTAAACTGTAACTGTAGAGGTAAGCCACTCTATCTTACTTTGATAATAGTTTCCGTTATGAAACAGAACAGCATTTTTTGGCTGATGTAATTCTTAGGTTCATATATTTTTTGTTTTTTCACTTTCTTTTTTCATTTGGCAAAGAAGATAGACAAGGGAAACCTTTCATTACTTTAACAAAATGAATATAATAAATTGTAGCTAGGCAAATTCTGTTACAAACAGTAGCTATGCAGTAGACTCCAGCCCCTGCACAGGAGACATCCATTTCATATTATTTAGAAAATCCATTTTTTTTTAAAGCAAACAATTTTGCTGAAATGCTCAACTTGAAAAAGGGTTGGGTTTTTTGTCTGCAATGCATTCTTCCTTAAGTAATACAATTGATATTGAGTGCTAAGTCCCACAAATATAAGTATATATACCTATACTCTCTCATTAAAGAAGCTCAATTCAAGTTGCTTAATCTGCACTTGCTACACAGGTATAATATACAGTGTACTACAGATATATACTAGTAAACTTTTTTATATATGTCAGTTTATATCTATTGAAGTTTACCACAAGTATATAGTTACTTGGATTTTCAGAATCACTTTGCCCATTAAACAGAATTATGCTTCTCTTTTACAAAATGCAGCAATGTTTACTATAATTAAGCATCAAAAACAAAATATTTAACTTTAAATAGAAGCACAATAAATGAAAATATTATACCTTGCTGTTATTTTAAAAAAATATTGAACTAAAAAAGGAACCTATGATGGGGCAGGGGTAGTTACTGTAAACATTAATACTTGAGCAATTCATCCTCCAAAGGTAGGCTGTTACACCCTACAAAAGAGGAAAAGTTTTTTTCTCTAATTAAAAAAAAAGACAAAACCCTCTTTTTAAAACATAATTGAAGTGTCCCTTAAAATGGTTCTAGGATAAAGTCGTTGAAAATGATGAAATAAAAGCCACTAGGCAAATCATAATGATTAACAAGAAAAACTTCGGAGAGAGACTTAGGTTCATATTCTTGGCTATACCACTTAGAGAAACTTGTGACCTTCATTTAGCAAGTTCCTTAATCCCTTTCAGCCTAAATTTCTTCAAATTGGCTATTGCGCTGAATAAGAGATAGCAAAGGAGGTATTATTAGCACTGAACCTGGCACTTACCCCTCAGTAAGGTGGAAATAATCATTACTGTCCAGATAAACTTGGGGTGGGGAGGATGCTCATTAGTGACCTTGCAAAAACTAGGGTCCTTGCATTAAAACCCACTCTGCTTGCTTGGTAGTGTAACTACTGGTAGTTTTCTGCTATTCACTTTTAGTGTAAAGAACTCTAAAGAACCAAGAAGTAAAAGTGAGAGGGGGTTAAAAACCGAATTTTACAGGTAGCAAGAACCTAGACTCAGGCAAAACTCTGTGCTGCAGAATCTGTCAGTGGGCCGTCATCCTATCTTTCAAACATCCTACCGATCCCCAAGTTAATAGAGGGTTAGGAGGATATTTCCCGGTATATGCCTTTTAAAACAAAATCACTTCAGGCAAAAGAAAAGTCTAGCACCCAGCACAGTACTGAAAATGATGAATTCCTAATTATTTGTCGAATGAATCAATACAGGTGTACATTTCAGACAGAAACTAACTACCCGGGAAAACCGACGTATTGGACAAAATCTTCATTTTCTATCCTGGAGTCCCTTTCCTCACCAAGCACTCAATATTTAAAGCTCTATCTTCACTTACTTCAACAAACAAACGAACAACAAAACCGAATGAGTTAGGAATTATTCCTAAATTCACTAAAAAGAAGTAAGCTTTAAAAACGGGCAAATAAACTGCCTAGTTAGTTACACGGCTGGTAAGATACAGAAGCAGCTGGGATTCGAACTCACATCTCCTGGGCTTCAAAGTCCAAGCTGTTTTCGCTACACTAAAGTTTGCGTCTCCACTTGTCTCTGTACACTGTCCAGTGGAGAGAACATTTATCATTAAGCTTTCTTTTTCTCCTCTGATGCCAGCCCTTCCATTTCACACTACCTCCTATTCTGGACCATAAACTAAATACAACAGCAGGCAAGGTGCTCTAATTCTAGGAGTCCCGGTATACGCGCGAAGAACACAAATCTGTTTTACTTGTGACGCCGGACGAAGGTCCTGCGCCACCACCACAAACGACAAACACACTCTAGGGTCCAGAGAGGCTGCAGACCGCGCCCAGGTCTCAAGTTTTAGTCAAGGCCCACGTTCAGGCCAGGCGAGAAGAGAGGTTATCCTTCCCTGACACCCTCGCCAAGGCGGGAGCACAGAACAGAAGGCTGGAGTCGCAGTAACAGTACAAACAATAAACCCTTAAAGCCCCTCTTCAGCCCGTTAAACGCACTTACTTGAGCGAAGTAACTGCAAGACACAAGGCCGGCACCGGCAACGGGAAGGGCTCCTCTACGCTCCAGCCCAGGCACTGACGGTGACGACATCGGGGCCGCGCCGCGGAGAGCGAAGGCCCGTCGCCAGGCCACGAGCACAGCGCACGGAGCGCGCGCTCGCGGCAGGGGCGGGGTAGCACGCCGGCGCCACCTTTAAACGTCACGCGCGCGGCTCTGTTTCTGGACTAAAGCGTTTGAACATGTCGAGCCTGAAGGGAGTGGCGGAGCGAGGTACCCGAGTGGGTTTCAGAGCTGAGAGGGGAGACTTCGGTGCTTCAGTACCGCAGGGGCTGTTAAAGGCAGCGAGGAAGAGCGGCCAGTTAAACCTGTCGGGTCGGAATCTCAGTGAAGGTAAGATCCAGAGGTACGACCAGCTTGTGCTATTAGAAAGCACTTGCCCCTGGCCGACTCCCTTTCCTTCGCCTGCTTTTTTTGACCATCTTTGCCACAGTCTCCTAGCCAGGACCCCCGGGCTCTAATTCAGGCACCCATCACATTCCCACTGGTTCGGTCAGGCCCGTTCGGTTCCTACTTTTCTGAGCATATTTCTTAAATTGAGGATCAGGATAGATGCCACACAAAGTGAATTTGAGACCATCCTCAAAAACCTAGTAAAGATCAGCAAGCACCTCTCTGGATACCATGAATGAATAATAGCCAGATGCTCTTGTGATTGTGTCTTGTGTAAGGGAGGGATTGGGGAGAGAGAATATAGCATTCTTCCTGTAATGTTTTCCTCTACTTATATTCAGGTTTTAGGCTATCTGGGATTGAAACCTTCCATTTTCCTTATAATGATTGCTTTTTTATTGTGTCATATATAGAGTAGACCAAGCAAATACTTTCGGAACAAATGAAAGGGTATATGACGTAAATTCTCTGCTCTATCTGGAAAATCTTTTAATCAGTGGAAACAAATATTTTTAAACTACAGATGTACATACACATTTGTTTTACTCAGAGGCTGGAACGTTTTCCTTGATACCCTTCTAGGGCTTTTTGCTTCCTGTAGGACTCTGCTCAATGGTCACACCTTCAGACAGGCCCTTCCTAACTACCCTAATCAGTAAATATCATTGCTAACAGTATGGTTTTTTTTTTTACCTGTTTAATTTTTAAATAACATTTATCACTATCAGAATTTATATTATGTATTTGCTTATTGTCTTCCCTGCTCTCCCACTAGAATGTTAGTTTCATGAAATCAAGGAGCTTTGTGTTATTCATTGTTGTCTCACTAACAACCAAAATAGTGCTTGGTTCATAATAGATTCTTATTAAATGTTTGTGGAAGGAATAAGTGAATGAATGAATATTTCTGAATACTAGATGGTGTACTGGAATGTACTTTTTGATTGGATCCAGATGATTTTGTCTATTAAAATTTAAGGGAGCAAATGAATTTTGACTCTTAACTCCATGATGACATGATCAGGACTGTTTAGGTTATTATTGTGTAAACAGAGCCTACCACAATACCTGGCACATACTAGGTACTCAATAAATTATGTTGAATGAGTGGATGTATAGTATTTCATAGAGGAGAAAAATATAGGAGAAGAACATGGTATTTGTAGCTTATAAATCAAAAAGAAATCCTTGTTATCATAATGTAGAATGTGTTTATCTAGCTATAGCCTTCAACATCTCTTGTCGTTCAACCTTTGACACCCAAACCTCTGTAATTCTGAAACATGTATAGCCCCTTATGGAGCCATGCTCCTTATCTGCATATCTTTGCTCATGTAACTTTTTTTTTATTATTTTTTAAAGATTTTATTTATTTTTTTGAGAGAGAGACAATGAGAGACAGAGAGCACAAGAGGGAAGAGGGTCAGAGGGAGAAGCAGACTCCCTGCTGAGCATGGAACCTGATATGGGACTCGATCCCGGGACTCCAGGATCATGACCTGAGCCGAAGGCAGTCGCTTAACCAACTGAGCCACCCAGGCGCCCCACTCATGTAACTTTGAGATGCTTAATCTCACTGTACCTTATTTTCTCATTTATAATGTGATAGTGATAATAGGGCCTACTAAGATTTAATTGAGATAATACAAAGTCCTTGGTAATAAAAAGGACACAGTAAAAATTGTTATCATTTTTATTGCTATCGCTGTTAACATTGTAATAGCTTCCTAAATGCTTTCCTGGATTTCTTTAAGTCTCACACTCTAAAACAGTGTCCTCACCAAGAGTTATCTTTCTAAAACCTGGATCTTATTATGTCACTCACATTTAATGACTCCCCATACATCATAAGATTCAGTATAAAGTTCTTAGTGCAACATACAAAAACCTTTTGAAATCTTGCCCTTAAGTATTCACAAGGCCCTCCCATCTTTTCTCAGAATCCTATACTTTAACAACAACAGTAATGAAAAATTCTTTTCCCCAAACAACTAATCTTTTAAAACAATCTTTTAGGTTGTAGAACAACAGTCTCTTTAGAATAGTTTTAGGTTTCCAGAAAATTGAACAGATAGTACAGAGTTCCCATATACACCCTTACCCCAGCTTGTGGTTTCCCTTCATTACCATCTTACATTAATGTAGTGTACTTGTTACAGTTGATGAACTAATATTGATACATTATTATTAATTAAAATCCATAGTTCACATTACTGTTCACTCTTAGTATTGTACAGTTCTTTGAGTTTTGACAAATGCATAATGTCCTGTATCCACCATTATGGTATCATATAGAACAGTTTTACTGCCCTAAAAATCCTCTGGGCTCTACCTATTCTTTCTGGCAAGCCTGGCAGCCACCATTCTTTCTGCTCCTATAGTTTTGCCTTTCCCCAAATACCATATAATTGGAATCACACAATAAGTAGCTTTTTTAGACTGGCTTTTTTCACTAAGCAGTATGTATTTAAGGTTCCTCCATGTCTTTTTGTGGCTTGATAATTCATTTCTTTTTATCACTGGATATTATTCTATGGTATGGATGTGCCATTTTATCCATTTACTTTTTGAAGGACATCTTTGTTGCTTCCAGCTATTGGCAGTTATGAATGAAGCTGCTATTTGTGCTCAGGTTTTTGTGTGGACGTAAATTTTCAACTAATTGGATGTAAACCTAGGAGTGCCATTGCTAAATCATATGGTAAGACTACGCTTAGCTTTGTAGGAAATTGCCAGACTGTCTTCCAGAGTGGATGTAGCATTTTGCATTCTCAACAGCAATGAATAAAAGTTCCTCTTGTTCTACATCCTTGCTGCTATTTGGTATTATCAGGTTTTTGGAGTTTAGCCATTCTATTAAGTATGTAGTCCTGTCTCAATGTTGTTTTAGTTTACTATTCCCTAATGACATGTGATGTGGAACATCTTTTCATAAGCTTGTTTGCCATCTGTATATCTTCTTTGGTGTGGTGCCTGTTCAGATCTTTTGTCCATTTTTTTTTTTTGAAGGTTTCAAATGTACTTTATTTCTTCAACCATGCCATACTTTAATGGGTGCACAGTGCTTTTACTTGGCATCATTTATGAGTTGGTTTTGAAACAATTCAGTATTACACCAACTGGGATGTTTACTGATCTCTCCATTCCTTTGGGGTGACTCTGCCAACAGGGGACAGGTTCCACTCTATTCCAATTTGTGTTGCTGTATATGCCCATACAGCAATACAGAAAGTGGCTCCACTAGCTAGTACGGCATTACCATATTTGTCATGGAAATCAGATGTCCTTTTCTGGTGGCTCTGCCTTGCCGTTGTTTGTGGAATGCTTTGAACTCGGAGAGACGACTTAGAGCGGAAACATTCTGAAGCTGAAGATACAACGGTGCAACTGTAGCTGCTGCTTTGCTACAACTTCGTCCCAAGTCTCCTTGCAAAGAGCCCTGAAAAAACTTTTTTGTCCATTTTTTAACTGGGTTGTTTGTTTTCTTACTGTTGAGCATGGTTGTCCTTTGTCTTTTCATGCTGCATGTTTCTGTTCAGTAAGTTAAGGTTCAATGAATAAGTGATACATAAAAGGCCAGTGGCCTGTTAGTTAGGATTTTTTAAAGTCTGTGTTATATGACATATAGATGAAAGCTACATAAGTGGTTTTGTTTTTTGACATAAATTAGTTGTAAAAAAATGATTACTGTTTTCTGATAAACTTTTACTATCTTGTCCCTTTTACTGTTATACTTTTTAAAATATCCTCATTTTTTAAAAAGTCTTCTTTGGCTGCCTGGGTGGTTCAGTTGGTTAAGCATCTGACCCTTAATTTCGGATCAAGTCATGATCTCAGGGTCCTAAGATCGAGCCCCATGTCGGGCTTCACACTGGGCATGGAGCTTGCTTAATAATTCTCTTTCTCCCTTTCCCTCTGCCCTCTCCCCAAGCCCCCACCCCCCTTTCTCTCTCTATCTCCAAGTAAATAAATAAAAATGAAAAAGACTCATTATTTTTATTATTATCTCCAAATGTTATTACCTAAATTATGAATTATGTTCAAAAGCGATTATCAAACATGGCTTCTTTCTGATTGCTATCAATATGTATGAGATATCATGAGATATTTTATATGAAAGACATGAGATAATAAATATGAAAGTGTTTGAATGCTGTGGGGAGTTACAGATACTTATTTAAATTGCATTTGTTATATATCTGCTATCTTTGTTTCTTCCAGATATCGTGAAGAAGAAAATTAACACTTCAAACAATTTATGGTCACATAGGCATTTGAATATAAGTTTTATTCAAATTTATTTATTAAGAATTGCACTTATTGAACAAATAACAAATCTTTGTGTTGTACTCCAGGTCTTTCTTCCCTCCATATTTATGCAGCAGTTTAAAATTGCTCATGTCCATTATTTCTATATTGGAAAAATAGAACCTAGCCTTTCATTTTGATGTATATAACCCAAAACAGTTAAAATTCTGTTTATTCTTTCTTTTAGATGGTGGCCTTGAATTGATTCTTCTTAGTGGAAGCTCTAAGAGCAGTGAGACATTTTATTACCCTAGTAGGGTGTTAACTGGTACCCAGTACACCTTAATTTCTACCTGTAACTGAAATGAGTACTCTTGATGGCTTTTAGTACCCTTTCTTTTGATAGGCCATAGTTCTTTTATGAAAATACCCATTTATCATTTTCTTCTTTAAAAAAGCATTGTGTCTACTATAGAAAACGTATAATTTTATAGAAAGCATAAAAAGGGAAAATAATCATTCAGGGTTAGTCACTGTTGATATTTTGAAGGTTTTTCTTCTAAAATTTTTTTGTGTGACTATGATGCATAATTTGCCTTGCGTTTTTTATTTTAAACAAATTTAGAATTGCACTGAGTCCTGCTGGACTTCTTTTTGGACATTTTTTGATGTCACTTGAATAACCTGATTAT